GGTGGGGGGAAGCATTATTATGCCTGGCTTCCAAGAAAGACTCCCTGCAGGAATAACTGTCTTCCTACTAATTCAGTGAAGGGCCAGGGATTTGCCACCTGCCTTACAAACACAAGGACCCAAGTTTGATCTCCAGCATCAAAGAAAAAAAAAAAAAAAAGATTGCCTATTAACTCAATGAAAACATGTTAAACTTCAAATGTACCTATTCCTCTGCCATTTTTTTTTTACATTTTAGATCACATGGTGAGGGCATCAATACATAAGACAGCACTCCTAATGTAATTGAACAATATTGTTCCTTCCACTAGTCAATATCAGGGTATTAAAAAATATAATAATAAAATGAGAACCAAGACCTGTCATGTAGAGGTACAAGATCCTAACAATGAATGTAACTGTACTGTATCCCTAAAGCGTACCAATGAACTCAATTTAAAAAAAAAAAAATATATATATATATATGAAGCAATTAAGTTATGACCTGAAGCAAAATATGTGGTTACAAAATGACTATACTTCAAGGCAGTCACAGCTTTGCCAGAAAGATCTAAACACAAGTAAAAAGAATGATTTAAAATCATATAAATTCAGTTCATGTCTCCAGGATTTTCTGAGACCAAGAAAAATTTGTGGTGTTATTTTCAATACATTTTATACATTATACAACAAATATTTAACTATTTTCAATTGGTATATTTAAGATTTTTTTTACAGAATTATTTTAATGAGGGACAAAATTTTCTTTATTAGACCATTTGTTGTAATTGTTAAATATACATAATGTACCTACAGCTTCTGCATTTTTCTAAAATGGACAAATTAAGAATTTTTTAAAAGTTACTTTAAGACTCATTTTCTTTCCCTAACGATATACAATATTTTTCTCCATACTTTGTGTAAATCTAAAATTTGCAGTAGATGCACTAACAACAGATAGCAAATGATAACAGAGATACCAGATTACTACATTCTGTTCTGTAGATGAATGACTACATTTTATTAAAGTCTCTTCTAATAACCATGGGAAATATTAGAAGTCATAAAACCCATCCACTTGTTATTATTTTAACTTGTTAACATTCCTCAAAAATCCATTGTAACTAGATAAAATACAAAATGTCCTGAGGGCTACAGGATTTAGAGGGTTATAACTTGCCCAGTCTAGATAGAAATGATACTTATAAAAAAATCTAACATCTCACTAGCTTTTCATTATTAGCAACTACAATCATCTCTCATTCCTTAATGCAGCCAATTTTTCTAAACAAAATTTACATATTACATTATTAGCTTTGTGAAACTTTATCTTAGTGCTTTCCTATTTTATTCTTAATCCCATAAATCCTTATAAGATAGTCATCATCTTAACAATCCTAGTTTTCCTGTCATTTACAAATGCAATAACATCACTTCTACATCTTCCTTCAAGCTATTTATATAATTGTTAGGCTAACTCAGGGAACAGAACCCTGTAAGACAACCCTAGAGAACTGGGGTGTAGAGCCTAGAATGCAAAACACCCTGGGTTACATCCCCAGGATAAAATGAAAATAATAAGAATACCACTAGGGATTTTCCACACAGGCTGACATCCATTTCAATAATTTCTTTATATTAATCATCAAAAAATATTTGTTAACACCTATTAAAGACCATTCATTTTAAAAGCACCTTTAGGAGGCAGTTAAGCAGCTTTATACATTTTTATGTTTTTTGTTTTGTGTTTTTTGGTTTTTTTTTTTTGGTACCAGGGATTGAACTCAGGACCTTGTACTTGCAAAGCAGGCGAGGTGCCACTAAGCTAAATCCACAGCCCTTAAAAGCACTTTTAAAAGCATTGGGGATATAGTTGTTAATAGATACTGTCTCTAACCTCATGGTGCTTACAGTGATCTACAAATAATGAAAATAAAGGATGATAAAAAATGAGTCTACAGCTGGAAGGAAAACCTGGTATGAGAAACTACAAATGAATATTCTTCAATATGGTCATTTATTTATCATCTAGCGATATTTGCTCCTTTATCCCACAAGGACATCATGTAAAGTAACCTCAAATGCTCTCCATAATCAAGATACACCAAATCTAGAACCACGGCTGGCAGATAATGGACACTTTTTAAAGGGTGTTTGTGACATTCTCCAGCAAAGTTAAAACTTAAGCCAATTTTTTTAAGACACTCGAAATTTTTAAAAATATATTGCTTTAACCTTCAGCACTTTTATCAATCGCAGAGATAAAACAATCCAATCAACTTATTTCACTCTTTTCTATTTCCCAGAATAGTTACCCAACTGGAAAATGTTTTGTAAAAAGTCATTTGGCAATTTATTCTAGAATTCTGCCAGACTTAAAAGACAGTAATTTATAGCAGTGCTTAAAAGAGTAAACACAGCAATTTATAGCATTATTCTCAAACTTTAATGTACACATAAATCATCCAGAGTTCTTGTTAAAACAAAGATTTTAATTCAGTAGATCTGCTGTGAGATCTAAAATTCTGCATTTCTAACAAACCCTTAGGTGATGTCAATATTGTTGTTGGATGGAAAATGCTTTAAAAAGTACGGATTGGTAGAATTCATCTTTCCTTTCTTTGACAATTAGGATAACATGTCTATCTCTTGTTTGGCTCTTTTTCCATTTCCCATGAGTTCTTAAAGTTAAAAAATCAGTATCTTACTTGTAATTGTGATAACACTTATGATTTTTTTAATTTCAATACTCTGAGGTAGGGCCGGGGATTTAGCTCAGTGGTTTGGTGGCCTGCCTTGCAAGCGCAAGGGTGAGTTCAATCCCCGGTACCAAAAAAAAAAAACTCTGAGGTAAACTTCATCTTGACCTGGAAATAGGACTAACCTCGACTTATATAACTATTGTTCTCTTGCTGTCCTCATTTCTACCATAAATTACACGTCCCTTAGTGTTAATGTTTTTTAATCCTTTCCAATTCTTGGGGAAAAAGTGAACTAAAAGTTGTTTGGACTTGTTTTAACTCTGACTGATAACACTCCATCACCTAGTCCAAAAGCAGACAAAAATTAAATCACCAAAGATACTCAACAACTTAGCGGCAGCATCAGACTAAAAGCTAGGATTCCTGATTGCTTTCCTTTTTTTCACCTTATTTACTTTTTTTTTTTTTCATTGGGTTTATTGTACATTTTAGGTATACAGTAGAGTTACATTCATCATTGGGATCTTGTACCTTTACATCATGACAGGGCTTGGTTCTCATTTTTCCCCTTGTCCCTGCCCTCCCTTCAACCCCTCCTCCCCTCCCCATTTACAAACACTTTATTTCTATTTTTTATTATAATAGCTTAAAACGGAATTGAAATCCATAGTTTCCTACTTCCTTATATCATATAACCCACCATGTCTTTTCCTCTACTTCAGTAAACAATCATCAGGCTGGGGATGTAGTTCAACAGCTCAGCGCCTGCCTGGAAGGCATGAGGCCCTGAGATCAATCCCCAGTACTAAACAGAAAATAAATAAATATATAAACAAACAAACAAACATTTTTTAAAAACTTAGTATTTCCCTTAGTTATTTAAATACATGTTAGCAGATTCAGAATATATTTTAGTTTTGTTATTTCTAATAATAGAAGCAAAGAAAGAAAAGAAAACCTTCTAATAAAACCTAACAGCCAGGGATATTACTATGATGCAAAGACTCATTTATATTGCTGAATTTCAGTGAAAGAAGAAGAGGAGGTGGTTATGGAAGAGGAGAGGTGGAATGATGATAGAAATAGTATCAATTCAAGCAATGTTACTAAAAGATTTAAATATGACTTTTCATTTATTGTACTCTTTATACATATATTTTTAAAGTTTTGGATCACTTAAAAAAATTCTTACACAATTATTTTGTCTTATTCATATTATAATGACTTCTCCCAAGAAATACAAATTAATAGGCTTATCCATTTCCAAAAAGCTTAAAGTTGACAAAAATTGTCCTAAATCAATTAGTCACTATTTTCAGTATAATCTTCAGCATATAAGCATGTAAGGATAGCCAGTAATGGTAAAGAGTAGTTCATAAAACCATTTGATTAGGCCAAGGCCACCTTTAATTAAAACCTCCAGTCAGAATCTAGAATCCTGGGAAACTGACAGATCAAGAATACAGATATCTTCCCCATTCCCTTGGTTGGGGGGAAGAACTTGCTAATCTAATTCCCTGGGCTTCCCTACTCTCCTCCCACTTAGGTCTCATACCCATTTTTCTTCTAGACACCTCAGATATGGTTTTAGCCATTAATTTCTTCAGCTTCCAATAATATGGGCTACACACTGGTTTCATCCTGCCCAAATAACATCAGTTTAACTGGTGGCAGGTGAAAAGTAATTGGATTGGTGTGGCTTCTTTTTTAGAAGAGAATCAGCTGAAAGACGAGGCTGTGGGTCTGCTCTCAGCTCAGCAGTGACCACTGTAAATTTGGGCAAATAACAGAAGCTACAGTTCAGCTGAATGGGTTGTCATCATGGACAAATGAGACAATGTGTGAGTGGCAAAGACTACAGAAACAACTGGTGTACAATGAAGGGACTGGACACCAGAGACCACTAAATGGCTATATTATATTGGGCAACTCTGTTTATCTTTCCTCATGTACAAAATGGGAATAGTCTGCCATGCCTGACTCAGATGTGTTCGTTTGACAAGAGAATAAAATAGAAATTGTAAAATGCCTGACATAGGCTATCAATAAATGATTACTACTTGTACAAAACATTATACAAATTTAAGCCCTAAAATTCTGTAGAAAAGCTTTAAAAAAAAAACGCAAACCACACAGCAGGAACTATGGCAAAGAACCCAAAGTATACTAACATTCTATTTTCCACTGTCTAAGATTTATTGTCCTTTCCCTCTTTTTTATACTATAAAACCATTTAATAGATGACTCATTGTTACAGTGTACAGTTACAATCAATACTATGAATTTGACTTTAATGCTAACAAATTACTACTACAAACAACACACCTGCAAGGGTCTTTTGTTCTGTTTTGTTTTGTTTTTTGCAAGTGAATTTTAAAAGTTTCAACATTAATGTTTGTACATTAATGATATGTTTTTAATGGAGTTACACTGGCTTGTGTGAAACATGTTATTGACCTATATTTGTGTGCTTATGGAAATGGAAAAGGGTTTTACCACCAAACTACATCATGAAACCAGAAAGAGAAAGAGACTGCAAGATAGAGAAGAAAGAGAGAGGAAAAGAGAAAACATATTTGTGTCGAAAATAAATCCAAGAAATCACAAATAGCCTTAACATTACCATCCAGGAAAGTCTGTTCAAGATAATCAATGATCTGAGTGGCCTCACAAATTATGTTTTCCCCGTGGATAAGGACAGGTACTTCTCCAGTTGAGTTCAAACGCATAAACCAAGGCTCATTGTGCTCACTCAGGGGCAGACTTACATCATGTTCCTCGCACTTCAATGCCTTTTCTGCAATTACCAAGCGCACCTGGAAAAATTCACACAAGTTACTATAGACCCGGTAAGTTTTCACTTCAGTGACTTCCCTGGATATCGCTAAGCAGCCTTTCTGGGCTTCCAGTGCAAACATTTTTAACATTCTCTTTAAGGATTTATGTTCCTAGAATGAGTTACAAAAATAAATTTGTAATAAAGATGATTCTAGTTATATTCATTGTACATCACCCTTCCCTCTACCACCAATTTGCGTCCTAAACCTAATTCCGCATCATTCCCAGTTAAGAATGTTGCTCAGGAGAGTGAATAAGAACAAAAAAGGGTAAAGAAAAAAGAAGGAACGTAGGAAGCGGTTGCACGGCCTGACCTTTCAGGGCCCAGTGGGCCAGAAAATAGGCCAAATACTGAGTGATGCTTTTTTGTCGCATTTCATTAGCATCAGTGCCGTATCCTTTCCAGCTGAGATGGATTGTCCCCGGCTCCCCAGCTAGAAGCAATCTCTATCCTGCAGGGACGTCCGCCCCCGCCCCCCCAAATTGGCGTCGCTGGGTCTCGCCCCGCAGGAGCTGTCCGGGTGCTGAAACTCGCTCCTCCCTGCCCTCGGCAGCCGAGGCCTTTACCTTTTGAGAGCTGAAGGAATGCGTCCAGTGGTACAGAATGAGCTTAACCTCCGAGTCGGCCTTGCCCTCCGCCATCAAGGGCGCGCTCGCTCGCGACTCGTCCTGCCTCCGAGCCATTTGGGACGAATGTGGGCAGCGGGACTTCGCCAGTCTGCCCTGCGCTTCTCTCACCAGCGCAGCTCCTCTTACGTCAGCGATGAGGGCGGAGAGGCCTCTGGGAAGTGTAGTTGCGCGGGTGCGAAAGCTGCGCGGGAGGAGGAGTCGGGTCTGCAAAGACGCGGTTTTCTACGCCCTGGAAAGCCCGGGCGCGAGAGTCAGTTGGCAGATGGGTATTTTCTCTTTAGGGGGAAAAAAACTAAAATATGACTTCTTGGTTATTTGGCTGAGAAAATTAGAAATGGTGACAGCAAATAACTCGACTGCTTTGTAAGACTGCTTGAGTATGAAAGCAGCAATTTTCCAAGATACTTGTGCCCCTTCCTCTGGTGGAAAAGAAGTTCCTGTGGGCGGAAAAAGCAATAGGATAGCGACCAATGATTTTTCGTTAGAAGACGCTACTATGGAGTCCTGAGAGAAAAACCTCACAACAATAAACAATGGCAATGTAAAATAGCCTGGCTGTTAAACAAACATTTCAGAACAGAACAGCATCTGGCTATGTCTGTTTTTCCGTTTTCTCCATTTTCGAAGTAGAGATCATTTTATTTGGCTAACAAGGTTTTAATGCGAACTGAATAAGTAAATAAAATATTAAACACTCAAAACATCCCGGCACCTTGTAGGAACACAATATGATTCACAAGTTCAGCTACCTTATACACATTCTCTTTATAACCACGGTCAACGAAAATGTCATACCAGCGTATTGTTATTTTGTACCTCTTAAAATCTGCATCATAAAAAGTTGATTCAACTCCTCTCTCTCTCGGCAATTGCATATAAATATGACCATGAAATAAGTGACTGCCTAATTCATCCAGCAAAAAAAAAATTTGAGCGTTATATTCCAGGAATTTTTCTAGATTCTGGAAATTAGAAAGACGGGCAAGATCTGACACCTAACACCAAAGAAACTCTGTTGGCCAACATAAAATAGTAAATAGCAACAATAAAATAAGAACTGTCTTACGGTAAACACATGAAAAATAATATACTTAGGGCAAAAACTGTGAGAGACAAAGGGATAACAGCCAGCCCATGCATGAAGCTCCTAAAAAGACAAAACATAGGGCTGGGAATTTAGCTCAGCAGTTCAGTGGCCTGCCTTGCAAGCACAAGGACCCGAGTTCAATCCCCAGTTCCAAAAAAAAAAAAAAAGACGAAACATCCCCGTGGTTCTTCCTCTCCTTGGCAGCACTTCTTTTTTGTTGGAGTTCTACAGAAATATTTACAATGTTTAAGTATTTTACACTGCCTTCTTATAGCCTTGGGTTAATGTAAATGCTACAGCAAAAGTAAGCCCCTTGCCAAATTTGTTATCAGCTCATTTTTTAAAATAGAGACGGAATCCCAGGCCTGAAGCAGGGCAAACAAGTGCTCTACTACCCTGCTAGGCCCCTAGGCCCATCAGTTTGCTCTTAAGAGTAGAAGAGGAAAGACCAAAACATTTAAATCCGACAGAGTGGACTTCAATTCTACCTCCACCCCTAACTTGACCTCTCTTCAGCCTTTACTTCCTCTTTTGTAAAATATGAGTCTGTAAAAGATACAAGCTCACCCAGACTGCTGTTGGAATTTAAAGTGTATAAAGCACCTCAGAAATTGCAGAAAACCATAGATGATGAACATATATGTGTAAAAGCCATTCCACTGAAGTCCTCTGAGTGAAGGACATCATATTATGCTTTATCTTTTCTCTTTATGCCTCAAAATGTTTACAGTGATAGTACTATGGCAATCCTGATATGCCAACTTCACTATGTTAAGAAATTTCTACATCAGTAAAGCACACTCCTGGGGATGTCTAGGTGGCTTGTGGAGGCTTGAGCACTATACAAAGTCCCACTCTCCTTCCCCTCTCAAACTGTTTCCCTGTTCTGCTTCCTCACCACCACGAACTAAGCAGCTTTGCTCCTCCACGCCCTTCTGCCTTGGAGCTAGCCTACCATGGTCTGAATGCCCTGAAACCACAGATCTCATTAAACTTCTCCTCCTTTAAATTGTGGATTCAGGCACCGTGTCCAGTGACTAAAAAGTGACTATCTCAATTATTCTCTTCTTCCATCCTCTATAGAAGAACTGTTCTTAATTATCCAACTCTGTATTCCAACCAATGCTATATAGTTCCTTTTTTCTTAATTCACTAAATATTTAAATAAAAGCATTCTTTTAGGCTATCTTACAGCTGAAAGTCTGACAAAACTCTGGTCTATCACTCAGGACTTTTTCCATCACATATTTTCACCTGCAAAACCAGATAGTGAACGTGGAGTGAAACTAATGGATTACTGTATAAGTAGTACTAAGTACTATTCATATATGCCATTGCAAATGTATACATGTACAGTGTCTGAAGGGTAACAACAGTATGCATCCCCCCAAAAAAAATCCCTTAAAAAGGGCATATCTTCTAACCTAGAAATTCCTGTTTGACTAAGAAAATAACTGTCAAACTCTGACACTTGGATCCTAAAAATATATTTTCCCGTTTCTCCACGGTTAATAGAAATTTTAGCTGAACACTAGGATGCTGGGAATAAAGACTACATTTCCCAGACTCCATGGCAGGTAAACACAACCTTGTGACTATATTCTAATAAATGGAGGGTCATGGATGTACAATGAAGCAAGTTCTGAGAATTTTCCTCACAGTGACAGCCCTGTCCCACTTCATCCCATCCTCTGTCCTGTTCCCAGGAGAGCAGATGCTGAGCTAGAAGATGTAGAAGTGGGGATGGCTGAGCCATGAGTTGGGAAAGAATTTGAGCCTCTAAAGATTGTGGAGAGTAGAACTACTATACCAACCTTAATCTGCAAACATTCACACTTTTACTTAAAGAAGAAATAAAACATCTTGTTTTTGTTTTTTGTTTTATTTTGTTTTTGTACCAGGGATAGAATTTAAGACCTTGAACTGGTGAGGCAGGCACAGTGCCACTGAGCTAAATCCCCAGCCCTAAATAAGGCATCTTGCATAAGGCAGTCTTATTTGGTACTTTCCAGAAGCCAGGTGGTTTCCAGACCCTATCCTAAATAAAGGTGGCTTTTATCTCTTTATGCTTCTATAAATCCTAATGTTTTCTATAATGAATGTGTTGATTTTTGCCTCTTAAAGAATATCACTAAACAGATTAAATAAGGAACAGCTGTATCCACTCTCAATGCTCTCTAATCCCTATTGTCCATCCCAGTAAAAGCCCTCTGTGAGTAATTTAAAAGATCTTATTATTTACAAAACGTATAATAGATAATGTGAAATAGGAAGAAAAGGTCCAAAGGGGAAGCAGGAGAGTAGGGGGAAAAGCAGGGAAAGGAATAAATATAAGAAAATGAAAAAATGAAACAAAGTCTTCGTAAATAGGGAAGGGTGGAGGGGTTGAATGGAAGGCTGGGAATGGGGAAAAAATTAAAACCAAGGTATATTACGTAAAGGTACAAACTCGCAATAATGAATGTCAGCATATTGTGTACCTAAAATATACCAATAAAATGAATGAATGAAAAAAAAAGATCTTTTTACTTGTAGGAACCAGCCTACAAGCTTGAATCTGACTGAAGGGTGATGAGGATGAAAAATAGACACAGAAGAAACAGGTTAAATCTGAGAAGCAGAGAGCTCATGTCTACCTTTGACCCAGAGCCCCAAATAACTGGGGCACCTTGGCTTTACTCACTCGGACACAAGCACAGGCAATCAGAGTTCCACGGGATTCATCTGTCTCCCACCCTCCAAGGTACTTCAGGTAAACAACCATAACCTTTGCTTTTCCCCACAGTGTGTTAGCACGCTTGCATGCCCTCTTTTTCTCAGTGTTCACCAAGGAGGCCAATTTGGCCTCATTTTTCCCATTTTGTCTCCCATAATTATTAATTCACATGTTTATTCAGAATTGTCTGTGTATTTGGTGCCTATGGGTCTTTGCACATCATCACATTAGTAAATTAATGTTTTCAATATACATTTATTGTGCCTATACTTCTAGACACAGTGCTAGATGCAGAAGACATGGAGTTACAAGTTATAGTCACTGACCCCTGGGAACTCAAGTGTGAAGGGAGAGAAATGAAACTTCAGTGCCCTGTGGCAATTGTTTTCATATCTAGAAGAATACGATAGGAATATAAATAAAGGCATCTAATATAGATATGCTTCCCAGAAGAGGTGATAATCTTTACCATAAGACTACTATACTAATGTAATTACCAATATACCCAGTATGGTGCTGTCACTGGCACGTGATTTAACTTAAATTTTGAGGAATTTCGCAAGCTGGATATTCAGCCCAGCCATTATTAAAAGTTAAATCAAATTTCCTTTGACTTCTTTTAAAATAAAGCTAAAAGTACTCAAAGCTCATCACTTTGTAATTATGTTGTGTATTACTATCTATACTCTGGAGTTTATGTCTATTATGCCAACCTGATGGAAATAGTATAAGAGTGTGCTTTTGTGTTTCTCTTTCAAACTCCTGTTCAGTATTATGTTAGCTTCAAATTGATCACAGTATTTTTATCAAATGAGTAAATAGTATCAGTAAATTATAACGTTTATTTTTCCCAGAGATTTGGGTGATAAACATTTATCAGCATATCAGTGCATGCATTGATCTTAGAGTTTAATAATTGTTTTGATGATAATAATAATCAGGAGAACCGGGTAAATATGTGAATGAATAAATTTACATATAAATCTGCTTTCAATACCTTTTTCTATCCCAACCAGCTTTTGCTCTACTCCCTTTCTCAAACACCCACTACCTTTAGTGCCTTCCACTTCTTAACTGTGCTTAGAAAGAACGTGGGTGTCACACATCTTTCTGTTCACTATCAAACACTTAGCACTTTTGCTAGCACATCTTTCCAACAGGAAAATCATGAGCTAGTAAAAGTACATGATCTACATCACTACACTGGCGTTTAATGTTAATGCATAAACGAGAATCTTTGCATCGGAAGATAACAAATCACATTCTACAGTCTCCTTTAGTTTTCATGACAGCCTGTGAGATAGCCATCATCCCTAATTGATAGTTAAGGAAAT